AAAAAGAAAATATATATTTAAAAATAAGGGACACTTTTTTTTTTTGCAAAAAGTTCCCTGCAAAATGTTCCCATTATTCGATCCGTGAATAATTCCCTCCACTCCTGCCAAAGAGAAGAGCCATTGTTATACAGTTATGTCTACCCTGCAGCTGAAAGTGAGCCTCCCAGCCCTGGCAGACAGAGTTTTGCTAACCGGTCTTGCGCTCACTGAAATAGCCGTGTGCACCAGCAGACACTTGGGATAGCATCTAGTTCAAGCCTACCCTACCCCCAACTCTGAGCTTGGGTGGCTATCCTGAGCCTCTGCCAGTGCCACAACGTTCACAGCTATTTTTATTACGCTAGCGCCCGCCCCACCAACACAACTCTGCCTCCCTGGGAAAGAAGGCTCACTCCCAACGGCAGAGTAGACATACCTATGTGTTGTAGTAATGGGGGAGGGGGGGGAGAGGAGGAGCCATTTCTGCTTCGATTTCCACATGTTCTATGGGGATGATACCCACCTTGGTACAATACAGTAATCAGACTATAGCAAGTTCAATACATATATGAAAATAGGAGAACTATTCCCAAAACCACTCCAGGAACCAGTACAGACGTCCACATGGCCTTATGGGACAAATGATGGGTATCATTCAGTCCCATAACTTGTGACCTTTGCCCTAAACCCACATAACTATAGGAAGACAATGATGTTTTAAGAAGTTTATTAAAGGATCATGTTCAAATAAACGAGCACTTTAATTAAATGTGCTATCATAAACAGACCCCATAGGCATGTAAACTTCAAATGTCCAATAGCACAAAACCACAGGTGCGTATCTGTGAAGTCAACATTTAATTTTATAATTGCACGCTTGCTTATTTTAATGCATGATCATACTAAATCTGTTTACTTTCAGGCTGGGAAGTACACACTTTGCAACCCTGTACCTTTTTCACACCATGTTTGTAGAACTGAGTTGCTTGTAAGAAAACTAGCATGTTTCTGCAGCAAACCTTCCACAAATGACCTGTTAGGTTGAAATGTGTTCAGAAGAAACTCCTTAGCAGGGCTCAGAATACACTTTGTAAATTTTGTTCTTTTTTTAAGGAGCCATGTGGAGTTCTTTAAAGTAGTTCAAAGTTGTAGTATGGACAGATTTCTAGAAATGATCTGCTGTGCACATTTACCAAAAGTAACTAGATCATATTTGTTGTAGTAATCTGGATTCAGTTACTACAGAGAATAGCACCATAGAAATGCTATGAATTAAAGTTACATTTTTATTTTACAGCAAGACAACTACTGGTAATTAACACAAGTTTTGTGTGTGTGTGTGTTTTTAAGGCAACATTAGTTCAGTTGAATAAAGTAAAAACAGATTTATATTCCAAACATTTGATTTATTCAAAATTTATTTTTTTAAACAAAAACAAGACAATGATTTTAAATAATAAACATGGTATATTCTAGACATCTGTTGATCAAGACTTTTAAAACTAACCATATTTAACCATAACTTTTATGCAGTTGTTGCAGTGCCCTCTGCAGTACTCAAAAGTATTGGTTTCCATTTCATCAACTCAACTTTCTAACAATACAAGAAATCAAGCTGTTTGCTTAAATGAAGCGTCATTTTTTTTTTTAAGTGATGAAGGCTCCACCAATGCAAAAAGCACATCAAAACAGTTATTCGTCATACCTACAAACTTTTAAAAAAATGAAGTCTGTTCAGCCTTTTTGGTTTTTCTTTTACACTGCCCACATGGAGAACAGCGTAAAACTAAGTAACAAGCTCGGCTTCACTTTAGCAGTGCAATGAATGGCGTCAACCAAACTTCATGAAACAAATAAAATATACACATTGTCAGCAAAATTCATCTGTATAGTAGTGATTAAAAAAAGCAACCTTTCAGTGGGTCACAACTAGACTGGTTTTCAGCGTGCACCTTTCCTCAGGAAGAGTTTCTCCCCGATTCACATGTAAAGAATGGAACATGCATCAAAAAGCCTTTGTTTTCATGTAGAAAAAATGCCCTTCAAAAACAAATTCAGTGATGTCATAAGGCAAAAGAATATGAAGCTGGGTGAAGCATTTTGCCTCAGAATATGTACACACACACAAACACACGTGTGTATATCAGATAGACAAGTAATGGATTGGCTCAGTAAGGTGAAAAATTGTCCATTTTTTATAAATACATATAATTATTGCTAATATGCTACACATTATGCTTTGACACAGGAGTGGCGTATAAATTAGCATTTAAAGCTGCCATAGTGACAATGCTAGCCCTGCATTTAGCAGCAGACATTCATCCCATTCTCAAGAAGAAGCAGTATACAGTTATAAAAAACCATAAGGCTTATGCAATGTCCCTCTCCAATTTTGCTTTGTACGGTTTTAAATTTTTGTTTTTAAATATTTAAACAAAAAAACCTAAACAAGTCCAGTTCACCACAAGTTAAGAACAATCTCACAATGGGGGTGGAAAATAAGCTCATAGGAGCCGAGAGGGAAAGAATACAGCATGCATTTACAACTTGGTTATAATCTAGTCCTTAATCATACCATTGGAATACAAAAAAATCCAATTTAAAGACTAGACTAAAAGTAGAAGACAAAAAGCCAAGAGTGTAGACTTAGTTAAATTAAGGTTACAATGTAATCAGTAACAAATTCATCCTGCCCATTAATATACTCACAATATCTACTGCAATTTAATATTTATTCATGACTAGTATAGGTATATTATCTGCTCACTTAAAAAAAGATATTAAATACCTGCATCATGAAATTACATTCTTATTAACAATAAGACATTGTGTAAGAAAATAGCTCATGTGTGAAATGTTTTTGAAATGCTTCCCCCCACACACACAATTATCAAAACATTCACCCACAGAAACAAAAAACTCCTTAAAGAGGACAGGAATGATGAAGGGGATTAGCTAGGCTAATTACAGCACAGTGATAACAATGGTTCAAGACAGAACCAATCAGAGTTGGCCAAAAGATGCCCTCAACACATGGCTAACTAATAATTCCACCCACCCACCCCAAACTCAGTCCACTTTTGGTTCATTGCAATGAGAAAAAAAATAGTTTTAATATATACATATAAATACAAGACTCCAGCTTTTGTTTTTTGCAAGGCCTAGTTATCTCTTAGTTTATATTTGCTCTGCAGCAACTACAAGAGGTAGGCATAAAGCATCTAAGGACTTCTCTCCTAGTGTTCCGCTACTAGCTCCATCTTTCAAATGCTGCAGAAGCCTGTTGTACTTCTGTAGTGATGTTACTCTCCAATCTGCTGCAATCCAATGGACAAAGGCCATTTTACCTCTCAATTTACTAAGATAGCGTACCACAGAGCAAGAAGCTTTTCCTGTACTGAAGGATACTGTCTTTAGAGTTTACTGCAGAACATTCATAAAGAAAATGGATCCTGGGACCAATTCTCTTGATTTCCTTTTATACATAAAAAAGAAGGTACCATTTGGCCAAAACTACAGATGTATTTTTTCACAGATGCAAGTGCCATGCAAAAATAAATTAAAGAACAAATACCAAAACATACAAGTAATAAAACTATTGAAGGTAGATTTTTTTAAAAGCATTTATATAAACATAATTTATAATACTTTTTTTTCTCCTTTTTTTTCTTTTTTGAAATACAGTCACAAAGCTGGGGCTATACATCAAGGATTTCCTCTGCAGTGCCTCCACAGCGTAATCTGTAGCGTCCTGTCCTCCAACTAATAGTGGGGTCCCATAAGGCAGATAGGAAAATGTATATTGTCATGGATTCTCTGATGAACCAAGCTACTGCGTAATCAAGTTTTGAAAAACACGGAGCACCACCCTGGGAATGAAACACAGACATTAATATTTAATGCAACTACTAAATTAAATATTTATTTTATGGGCACATCTTGTTTAAAGAGAAGTGTATTATCATATGTGTACAGTCTTTTATCAATTAAATTGTGTTTGGTTAAGCAATTATCCTCAAAATATACAACAGCATCCATTTTGCCAACATACTGTAGCCTGCCCAATTTCAAAGCAACCCATTTAGTAAATATTTTCAATACTGTACTGTGTTTCAGCCACAGTGGAATGCTTTGGGGCCTGATTCAACACCAAATGAAGTTAATTAACTTTACTGGAAGATGGATCAGATACTTAGAAACACACCAACAGTAACAAGATACAATTTCAAAAGTACTCTTGGTCAAAAGAAAGCTTATATTATTTTCACATACACTGTCTGAAAATTGTTGTACTTCTCAAACGAAGTTAACTGTTCACCTGCCGTGATGAATACTACACATTAAATGGTAGGATCATGGCATGATCACTAGCAGGGTTTGAGAAATCACTTGTGTACAGAAGGAGGAGATGGGGGAAAAAAGGAAAATGGCTCAAGTTTCTCATTAGTTAACTGTCTCTTCAAATGAAGACTATAAAAGAGACCAGACCTTCAAATAGACATTCCATTTTAGGCAACTGAGATGAGTTGGAAAAGCATCTCACACACACTAAAGTAGTAGTTAGTGGGCCAGATGCTTGGGTACTCCCAAAGAGTGAAATCCACCCTATACAGAGAGCATGGCACAAGACCTATGTACCATTTAAGCCTGCAGAACAGGGCTGAAGGAAGATGTAAATAGTGCACAGGTCCTGTGTGGTCCCTCTGCACAGGGGTGTATTTCATTCCAAACGAAAAGCACATAAGATGAGGAGGGTGGAGAGGGAGAGGGGAGTGCAAAATTGGCACGAAGCTCCCACTGGCATTACCCAATGCTAGCCTTGCTCGTGGTGCATGCATTCCACCAGGTGCTGTGTGAGAGCAGCCAGAGAGATGTTTTTAAGTCATATCAGCCTATAAGGGCCACATGGAGCCAAGGCACCTACACCAAGGTCTATGAAATGCAATGGGGCATGTGGTTCTACCTCTTCCTTCCCCACTACAGCGACAGCAAAGGTGGTGTGTAGAGAATGAGCCCCTAAGTCAGCCATATGCCACTGCAGGATCATCCTTATACCAGATGTTCCTCCCTGGGCCATAGTACACTGATAGTGTGTCCAAGGAGGGTGAAATGCTCCTGAGGATTTGGACCAGAAGCACCAGAACAAAGGTCAGATGGCAAGCTGAAGAAAGGTAAAAATGTCCAGGACTCCAATTCTGCCTGTGCTCTGAAGCAGTGGTGCTGTTTCGTTGCCTCCAGTAGTAAAATGAAACTGATTTTGAATCAATTTCACACCACTAAGGGTGCTGGCAAGAAGGACGCCAGGCACAAGACCAAATGCAAGATTTCAATGCTAGTCAATTATTGTTTTTTTTAGAAAAAAGAGGGAGGGAGAGTGGTGGTGGTGCAGAAAGGAGGGATCAATTTGAAAGATTCCTGCAGTGCCATTTTGAGACCAGAACACTATGATCCATGCAGTGGTTTCCCACATTTGAAATTCTGTTGAAGTCCTCTTGCCGCTCCCTCCCCCCCAGTAATAAGTCCCCTCACTGCATTTCTACTGCTGATTTTATATTTTTTTTCTGTACCATTTTCAAGTTAGGGTGAATGTATAAACAGCTCAGCTTTCTTAAGTCACAGGATATGCCAACACTTAGAGCTAAGGGCGTGATTCTCAGCTCAAGGAGACATAACCACACTAGATCTGATCAAACTTGCATGTTAAAATAGAGTGCAGCCATGGCCGAGCAAGAGGTGGCAGGGGCTAGCCATCCTAATTTCATGCCTATGGCCTCAGACAGGATTGTACTCTGGGTAGCTAGTCTCTCCCCCGGCTCGTGCCATGGCAGCTACACTCTATTTTTAGTGTGCTAGCTCAAATCAGAGCTAGTGTCTCCTCAAGCTAAGAATCACCACCACAGCTCACCTCATAGACATACCCATAGGCTTTGCAGCTAAAGCAGATTAAAAACAAACACCAATCTCCTCGTGCATCACCAGGATGAAGCTAGGTTTTAGGCCATGAGTAGTTCATACCTTTTCTCTCCCTAGGCATTTGAGTGTATAATATCTTGAAGGGAAAAGGGAAGGTGCTCATAAGCAAACATCTAGAGAAGATGCTGGTCTTTCAAGTATCATATTTCAAAATTCCCTACGTTTGCAGAGAGAGGCAGTATTTACAAAGAACAAAACTAGAACAGAAAGCCAAATTCTGTCCTGCCTTACATTCCCATTTAAACTGGGGTTGCATGAATGTAAGATCGCAGAAAATGCATGAGGCCAAATTCTAGCCTATCTCCCAGGATTGTGCTTTATACAAGATTCTCAAGTGAAGTCAGTTTTAACTGTAATAATGGCATTAGCAATACCTTTCAGTATAAGACACAGGTCAATATGGACTCCAACTACATACCTGGACACCCCTTAGTTGAATGTAGTCAAATATAAACCATGCCAAACAGTGACACATGAAAAATACCATTATATCCCATCTGAAAACATGATGAGCGGCCCATCCAATAATTAAACTGGCAACAAAACATTCAGAGATTGGCTCACAAATTATCGTAGCAGGGAGCATGTTAATTCTCAGCTTGGCCCACCTAAAATTAAAAATATAAAGTCTATTTTTAATACCAGACAAACTTTGCTGCATAATACATAGTGAAAATTCTGTTTTCATTTCCTCCCCTTTCTCTCAGTAAGTTGTGCTTTATGTTTCTTTTCAATAAAACCCTCCTCTAATCTTTTGCTTAATACCCACTCCAGCAAATATTGGCATAAACAATATCTGTTATATGGTTATTGCACACAAAGTCCAAAACATCTCTACTGGAGTATACTGAAGTATTTAGAAAAATGCTTGCTTACATTTTTATATTTGTTCTATTAAAAGCTCTTCAGTGTTTATTTCTCTCTCAATAATACATTAGAAAGCTCTCCCGCATGAAAGCTGCATCAGAATGTAAACTGATACTTTAGCAGTTCTATTTGGGCTACTAGGTCAAATGGTTAGTTCGGAAAAGTGCATTATACCTTATAATTGTGAACTGATTGGAGGCAATGACAGAGAAAGACAGGAGAAAAATCTATATAGTTAGAATTTTTACCTGATCATTCTGGATTGAAACTGTGAAATGGAATATGAACCAGAGTTTTGCATTGCAACTTGTGTGGCCATTGCAAATTTCCAACCTCTGAAAATGAATGCAAGTCATAAGTAACTTCCAAATAACATACGTAAAGAACAACTCAAGTGTTGAAGGACATGTTATCATTGCCATATATGCTGTAATAAAATGGTTAAACTATCATGCTGAATATAAGCAATAAATTCTCTTTCCACACGCAAGAGAGACTGGTAATTGAAAAAGGAGTCACATATTACTACTTCAGAAAACCTGAGCCAACAGCAACAACACAGATTATGTTTGTGCCATGTTCACAGAAAAATTGATCCCTTGTAGACTTCTGAAATTGAGATGCAAGTTTAATTACTTCTCAAAGGATCTATTCATATAGGATAGATGGACACACATTTCCACCATTGTTCTTAGTTATTTGCACTGTGGCAGTATCTAGAAACCCCAGTCAGTCACAAGCTCTTTGGGGCTGACACGGCACTAACACACAGGTAGGCCTGTACCTTGCCACAAAAGAGCTTGCACTCTTATTTGAAACAAGATGCAAAGAATGTGACTAACAGGAGGAGAAAAGGGATGAGCACGGTAATGAAAATAAGTTTCCATGATTCCATAGGTTAGCGTGTGCATAGCTTGGGGGTTCCAAATCAACTGAAAGTATTTTTTTTTTTTTTTTTTTAAAACAATACAATCATATATCCCCAATGCTGCACAACCTGGCCATCACCTGTTTGCTACCTCCTTGCAGAGGTCCCAGAAGAAGGTGCTCTTCAGGAGGTACTTGCAGGAGTAGAGGGTAGAAGCCCCTACAGATTAATTCAGAGAGGACATTTCGTGCACAGGGGACAGAAGGGTGGGGGGCTTATGCTGCTACTTATGCACTACATGGGAACACCTACCATGGTTTTAAACATACACAGTGAATGTGCCTCAAATCAAAATACTTAACCAAGAGGCATTAGTTTTATCTTACAAAAACAAAGAATGTAAGTATAGAACACACTGTAAACTGAATATTGTCTAAAGAAGACTCACTGGAAGTTATCTTACCGGTCAGCTATTGCTTTGGCCATAAAGTAATCTTCAGCAATGTACTGTGCAAAAGCTATCAGTCCTCCAGCTTGGTCTAATACATCCTTTCTCATCAGGCAAGACATCCCTGTTACACATTTGAAGCCAGTTACATTGGCAGAAATATATGACCTGGGATGTGAAGTGCCAAAATATACCTACAAAAAGAGAATAGTCATAAATCGGGCTTTAAAACTAGGCAGGCAATTTGTGCAAATTATTTTTCTAGTCAAATGACTTTCTACTTCACTTATGGCATCTTTACTATCCGATTTATTTCTCTAAAAGATTTTGACAAGATAATGGCTAGCTAGAGGTGGCTGACTTCACTAAAAGAAACTTGGCAGAAACCTTTCAAGCAGCTACAGTTTTTGTATTGTGCTATCTATTTGCTTTGAAACGCCTCTGCCTGCACAGTACAGAAGAGCATAGAAAGAATCAAAAACTACACGTTCACTTCTTGTCCTAAACTGAAGAAAGCAGCTTTGTTTCAAAAGTTTTTCACTTTAAAAATGCAAATATCAAATCGCCCATCTTGCATTAGGCACAATGCGGTTTACTTGTTAATGTATTAATATTTGTTATGAATT